TCTTTTTAAAAAATGCGTTTCTAAAGTGCATAAACTTTTGGGATTGACTGTATAGCCAATACATCCTTAAATAATTCTTACAGTTTGCAAATTTCGAAGAATTGCCAAACTTAAAGTGTTGTTCGTTGGTATACGATTTTCAATACTTTGATATTTAATTTTTCCAATACTAGTGGATGGAAATTGATGAAAGAAATCAGAGACATACTAGTACATCAAAAGAAGAGAACAGAATTTTTCTAAACATTCGACCTGCAATTAACATTGGAAAAAACTCAGCAAATCTTCAAATTTCGGAACAATAAATTCTAACCATTGTTTCACTGTTCTAATTTTTATTTCTGATTCCAACGTACGAAAAGTGTTGAAAAATTTCACATATAGCATACTATACCCTATACAATTATTACAGCTTTCTAGAATTACAATTTCTATTAAAAAAAATAAAGTTTATTGCCATTTGTTCGAAAATACAATTCAATTGTTAAATTTGCTTTGTTCAGAGAAGTCAAAGATCTTGGGCGAAAATATTTTCCATTGAAAGATTGACCGTGTTTGTACAAGTACGCAGTTTGATAGTGAAGGTAAAGAATTCTATTAGTTCAATTTGGTTTGGGTATCAGCAAGCATGTGTCATGCAAACACTTTCAGAATGGAAAATTTTAGGGTTCCTTTCTGAGATCAAGAAAGGAGACAGGAAGATATGAAAAAGAATCTTTCTTACATACTTTCATAGGACATATTATTTACAGATAACATACGGAACATTATGGCCATTCGCCATTTGGATTGTATAAAAAATGTACTCTTATTATTAGACTGCGCAATTTTATACAATTATGGAAGACTTGCAAATAAAAACTTGTTATTGCTCACGTTATGAAATTATACAAATGATAGAAAGCCTGGACAAATGGATTACATTTCTTAAAATACATATCAAAACATACGATTATGTATAAGAATCCGCAGTCTATTTATTTTAAACCAATTACAGACAATATGAATTATGTATATTATGAGCAAATTAACACTTCGTTTTAAATAGTTGTTTTCCATTTTTATAATAATACAATTAATAATATCGTTCAATATTGCTAAATAAATTATTGCAAAGAATTGTAAGTGTTGTATTATATACAAGTCAATAAATCTAGAAGGATTTTCTTATAATGGAAAAGAACTGTCAAAGGATTGCCACGATTATAGATAAAAAGATAGCAACATTTTTGCGTAGATGATCTTGATTTTGCTCGAACAAATAAAAGATATTGATACACAACAACAAAATCAGTGATATGAATTAGTTCAATACCTGAAATCTTAATCCTCGAATAGCAATTGACGTAGTAATAGTGACTTTCACTATTTTCGTATTTCAGTAAGACACCTTGCGGACGATTGTCCGTAATATTTCCGTCGAGAGTAGATATATAACTGATAACGTACATAAAACTTTATTGATTCCACAAGATGTATCGCTATTATCAATATTTATTGGCAATTCCTTAAATCCATACGATTAGAGTAGACCCTCCGTTGTATGAACACTCATTATGTGAACATTCAATTATATGAACCTATATCTATTAATATATTGAAAGGAGGTTTAATGAGCTACAATTTAGTGAAGTTATCAAAGACGCAATTTTCGCATTTTACTTATTCTCAATTTTTTCGCAATCTTTTATATACGTAATTTAGTAAACTAATCTAAAAATGTAAAAGTGCTCTTTGCAGATCGAAGAATGTTATATGCACGTGCAAAGTCGTCAGGACAAAGAACAGTTGGACGTATCGAAAGATGTTAAATTATCTAACTTATTTAATTTTCGAAAATTGTAAATTCTACAACTGTATTAATTTTTTTACCATTTATAGATCATAGCAGCGTCAATTGATTTTAACGTGCATATAACATCCATAGATCTATAGAAAACACGCTTCAAATTTTTATTAGAGAGTCGATTAAAGAACATGCCCACTCTACTTTTTTTCTTCGTAAGTTCGACCGAAGTTTGAGATGTGTATAAATATTTATAGCTCCAGTACTAATGGCTTGTTGTTTTATTATACGAAAATTCTCTTGTATGAACACATTTGTCCCCCAATCAGTTCATATAATAAATATTGAACTGAGCTACTGAAAATGTTCAATAATCGTCTAAATATCTCACTGTCAGATATCAGTAGCGAATAAATGTAATCTATTGGGTCTGATAGTTCGCGTGCGACTAACTAATTTTCTACTAATCTTCAAGAAACGATTATTCTTGGAACTGGAATTGCGCGTTGGAGCGTGTTAATGAATATGATCTTTCATTGATCCAATTTCATTTATATTGGCAAGCAGAATAATTTGTTCCACGAAAAAGAGCATTTATGCTCGGTTAACAAAATTATTGACAATACCGGAAGAATTAACGAAACAAATCGTGTGTAGGTATGCAAATTATGCATACGTTTATGGCTGTCGAGCTTGAGGTCGTTCTGCATCGATAAAAATATTATGCATACATGCATGCGGCCTCGTTCCTGTTTATACTGTTCTGTACATCACTGCGTTTAACAATTATTAAAAATTAATTAACACATGATAGCACAAAAATATATAATGATTAATATGTGATATATTATACATGATGTATGAAATGAAAATTGATTCGATGGATATCTAATGCAACAAGGTACAACTCATCAAAATCCTTTATCAGACAAATCAAATGGATAACGGTTGATAAAGAATGATAGGTACAGGTAATCTGTTTTATCACTGAAACGGATAAGTCTTTGATAAAATTTTTTAATAAATATTCCGATGGAATTTTAATGGATTGAATATGAATATCCATCACACTTTAAAGACATTATAATTCGCGATAGAAGCTTGTAATAGTAACTGGGATTCCCTATTACTTGCACGCGAACCGGTAATTTAACATTATTTCACACGCGATAGCGGACGTTGAATCAGTGAAAAGAATTTTCAGAGTTTCAGAGATCCTTAGAATTGAAATTCTGTTAATTCAATACAGCAATACACGTTTCAGGTCTGTCAACTGTACTGAAATTGCTCAAGAAACGTTACAATCTCGCTTCTGGGTCAGAATCGCGGTACTAGATTGCGATTGTCCTCAAGTCTGCCGGAAGCCAATTTTCCAACGGTTGAGCATCTCCGTCGGCCTCGGTGCTGATAACGTTTACGATTCCTCGCGGTCGGTCGAAATTCAGGGGCCGTGTCGCGTCGTCGAGGCCCGGGCGGTTGTCACAGGCTGGGGAGATACGGCAAGAACGGCGAAGAAGTAAGTACATAGTCTTCGGTAGTTGGCGAACGTTCTCAGTAGCGCGGCTCCGTTTCAGTCGTGCGGAAGCAGCCGACCGTTGCACGTGTTCACCAACCGGACGAAAACCGTCAACATCCATGGGTTACCAGTACCCGTTCTCGCATCTGGATACTTCGTACTGATTTTAACAAAGTAAGTTACTCGCACAGTTTTAACACATGTTAACTTTAATGCCTCGTTTTAATTTACAAAAATTTATCAAACGTGTTGATCAGTTTTATTTTCTTCTTTGTAATTTGTTCTCCTCTAAAATCTTTGTTTTTATTTTCCTTATTGCATTATAATAGTTGTGTACTGCTTTCAACGAAATGATGTTAATTTTGACGAAGAATCGCGTGACCAGTTTTAATTTCAAACATTCATGAAATGTGTTGATCAGTTTTATTTTGAAACTCGTATTAGTAAATAGTTCTCTCTTTTAAACATCTCATTCTTTTTTATTCCCCTTGTTGCGTTATAATAGCCATGCACTGTTTTAAATAAAAGATTCTCAGGCATTTACCTAATTAACGAATATTTTGTACTGATTTCAATAACGTATGTAATTTTTCAATAATTTTATCCTCGATGCTAACTTTGAATTGTGTTTTAATTCCAAACATTTATCAAATGCATTTGTCAGTTTTTTCTTCATTATGAGGTAAATTGTTCTCCTCTGAAATTTTTAAAGAGGCGATTATTATCTCTTTTTATTCGTCTTGTTATATTAAAATAGTTGCGTACTGATTTTAAATAGGAGATTTTCAGGAATTTACGTAATCAGCGAATAGTGTCGTCTTAGTTGAGTTCAGAGGAGCACAAATCAATCTTAGAAGGTGTAATTAAATTATGTTTGGTTTGTTAAGAAGATTGCGCGTGGGATGAACAGTGTCGAGCAGGCTAGTTGTTTCGTTTGATTCGGACAGGGTTTTAAATAAATCGTCTCTTACTTCGACGGGGCTCAATTACATAGTTCTTTGTCGGCTTTTCTTCAAGCAATTAGTATGATTTGAAGCGCTTGATAAAAATTTCTGCAGTCAATCCATTATTTAAGTGAGTAGAAACAGTTTATACAATTAGAATTCATCTTTTATACAAATCCCCGGTTTGATTTAATTTACAAATATGCATTTCAGACAGATCAGACTATATATTTGAAAATGTAAAGTGACTTATGCCATAGGTCTCTGTTGATATTAGCTGTTTCACTACTAGCACTGTCATTCATGAGCATATTTGTGTTTATGTTCGGTTTAACTAAATTCTAGTCTACTGAAGACTACATTTGACTAATTAATGTACAGTGGCTCCAGAAGGTATTCGGTCAACTTACAAAATAGAATAACTTTTTTTATTATTGGACAAACCGATTTGGATTTTCTGTGGGATGTCAGAAATCTTACTTTCTCCTATAATTTGTATCAAAAAATAAATAAAAAAATCAAATAATCTCTCAGAAGCTTTCTACATGTACAGAACTTACAATAACTAGATCTACAAACATACTTCCAATTTTTAATAAAGAACCCAATAAAAAATTAAAAAAATCATTTCTTCTCTTATTAATGCCTTTGACGTGTTTTTATGTTTTTTTTAATATATCCAGAAATTAGAATTCA